CATAGACGTTTTGTGCCAAAAAAACAACAACAAAGGAATAGCCCCGGCGAAAGTGCTTTTCTGAGCTCGAGTGAACAATAAAATAAAAAATGAGAAAAAATATTTAAAAGTTGATTTTTTTAGCAAATATTGACAGATGTTTTCATTGTTTGCAAAGTTTCATCACAAAATGACATTCGGGAAAGACATGGCAAAAATATGATGCTCCAAAATGCTTTTGCCATGTTTTTCACGAATGTCATCCGATGTTGGGAACTTTGCAAGCTATCAAAACATTAATCGATGCTTGCTAAAAAAATCAGAATTTTTTAATTCTCTTTTATTGTTCATCCGAGCCGCATGAGCTCAAACTCAGTTTAACCGTGCCGTAGCCCCAACCTAGACGTTATGATATCTAGGATGAAATGATCGATATAATTGACTAGAGGGGGAGGGGTGAATAGGCAACTAATAATTTTTAGCTTTTCTTTACCAATTTAAACTTTGCATCAAAGTAGGTTGTCTAGATATGCAACTAGGTGAGCAACATATATGATGCAACAAGAACAAGTACACAAGCAAGCAAGGGATATAACACAAATAAGCTTGCACAAGTAAAGACACGAGATAACCAAGAGTGGAGCCGATGAAGACGAGGATGTGTTACCGAAGTTCCTTCCTTTTGAGGGGAAGTACGTCTCCGCTGGAGCGGTGTGGAGGCACAATGCCCCCCAAGAAGCCACTAGGGCCATCGTATTCTCCTCACGCCCTCATACAATGCGAGATGCCATGATTCCACTATTGGTGCCCTTGGAGGCGGCGACCGAACCTTTACAAACAAGGTTGGGGCTATCTCCACAACTTAATTGGAGGCTACCAACGATACCACAAAGCTTCACCACAATGGAATATGGCTCCGTGATGAACTCAATCGTCTAGGATGCTCAAACACCCAAGAGTAACAAGATCCGCTAGGGATAGGTGGGAGAATCAAAAATCTCTTGGTGGAAGTGTAGATCGGGGCCTTCTCAACCACTTCCGAGCAAATCAAAAAGTTTGATTGGCTAGAGAGATAGATCGGGTGAAAATGGAGCTTGGAGAAACAATGGAGCTTGGGGATGGAAGAGATGGTCAACTCGGAGAAGAAGACACCCCTTATATAGTGGAAGAACAAATCCAACTGTTATCCACCAACTCAACCTGCGTAGCACGGTACTACCGCGCTGGGGACGCGGTACTACCGCAAGGCCCCATGGTACTACCGCCTGAGCAGCAGAAACCAGAACAACCCAGATGCAATGAAGTAGAGGGCGGTAGAACCGCTGGCTAGGTACTACTGCTCCCCCTTGCGGTACTACCGCAAGGCAGGGATGGTCCAGATTTTTGGGAAGGCACGGACATATAAAAATACATCCATGGCAACTTCCGCTGAGTTGGGATCTATGCAAAAATCTGACACGGTAGTACTGCAAGCCAGAAGCAGTACTACCGTGCGGGGTGCGGATGTAAAAAATTACATCCGCTCCTACTGCCGCGCAAGCTGCTGAGCCTGGCCAGAGCGCACGGCGTGGTACTACCGCGTAGGGCGCAGATGTAAAAAATTACATCTGCCCCTACTACCGCAATAACAGCAGCGCCTGGCCTGAGGCCACAGTACTACCGCTCCAAGGAAGCGGTACTACCGTGGGCACTTGCGGTACTACCGCGCCAGAGGCCGATACTACCACAAGGGCATGCGGTACTGCCGCTCCTAGGAGCAGTACTACCGCATGCCCCATATCAGCAAGCACGACATTTTGCATAGACAAGAAAAGACGGAGGATGCTCCAAAGTGTCAAAGGAAAGGCAGTGCAAAGGAGTAGACGTGTACGTGATGATTCCACCCAAGCCTTTCCAAAGTGGATCCCCTCTTAATAGTACGGGTTTCCTACGACTCAAATCCACCGAAAAGAAACATACAGAAACGCCGTCTTCAATAGTCTTTGAGGAGCACCAAATCGTCTTGTGCCTAGTGATGAAATGTCTGAAATACTCAGGCCCTGTTTGGTTCGGCTGTGGATTTTTAAAAGCAGCTGTGAAAAATCTGCTGTGAAAAAACATCTGTGGAAAATCTAATGTGAAAAAGATGTAGGTCATTTGGCAAACCAGCTGATACAGCTTTTCCAGATTTTGACCCGCAGCAGAATCAGATTTTGGAAAGCACGTCCTGGGCTGCTTCCGCTTTTGGTTCAGATTTTGGCAGCGGATTTCTGGAATCGAATTCTGCTGGGTTCGCCCTTTGGTTCAGATTCTGCTGCGCGGCAGCGGAATCCGTCGATAAAAGCTAAACCAAATAAGGCCTCAATGCACACAATTAGTCCGTAAAAGCATTGTCATCAATCACCAAAACAACTAAGGGAAAATATGCCCTTACAATCTCCCCCTTTTTGGTGGATTGATGACAATATGGGATTTGCATAAAGGGAGATAACATATAACATGGGCAAACCCCACACCTCTAAAATATAGACAGGCTCCCCCTAGATGTGTGTTATCTAGATGAGTGCTTTGGACTGCACGACACACATACTAGGATCAACACTCCCCCTATATTTTATAGACAAGGCATATCTTACAACAATAAGGCTAACACTAAGTAAGATAGTACATATGAGCATAATGTAAATAGCACAAGATAGCATAAGCTCAATAAGGTACGGTAGAGTGCATATGTCTTACACCATATGATCGAAAGGTCTCACAAGCACAAACCAACCAAAGCAAACGAGGTTCAACGGAATGAAAGCAAAGCGAAAAGACGAAACACAACTCACAACTCGCAAATCCTACATTCTCTCCCCATTTGGCATCGAGACACCAAAAAGGCAGAGAGGACACCTACAACACAAGTGGTGGCTCAAGCGGAGTAATCACTCGCACGCTCCTCGTCAGACTCGGCAACAGGGATGGTCTCCTCCTTGTCCTCCTCAGAATCGGTCCACTTGTAGCCCTGCTTCGCCATCCAGGCTGCCTCTGGCATGATGACCCTCTTAGATCCGCTAGATATCTACTCGCCAAACGTCCCCAAAATCTGCTTGTTGCGGCGGCGACTCTCCTTCTGAGCAACATGAGACCTGTACTGCCCCTTGGCCTGCATGCAGAACAGAGCCTTCATCTTGTTCTTCAGCTTCTTAGCCCAAGCGGGCTCAGAAGATGAAGGCGAGTAGCCAGCAGAGCTGCCCTCATCAGCGTCCTCCTCATCAATATCATCTGCATCCACATTCATCTGAGCAGCCGCTGCCTCAGCACGGGTAGTAGTGTTGGCCCACTGGGGCTTGACACGGAGCTTAATGGGCTCATGACGAATCTAGTCAGGGGCAAGAAACTCCTCATCGGGATAGAGCTTCTCCCAAGTCCTCGAGATCAATAGAAACAGATAAGGTCCATAGATGGGTACCTTACGGGTGAACACCGCAAACCGAAGCTCACACCACATGATATGTGAGATGTCAAGTGGTTGAGTCTAAGAGAGACGCGCCTCCTCACAGATGAGCATCATATCCACAAGATAGGCATGCACTTTGTCCTTGTCACCAATGCGGGGAAAAGAGAGTTGTGGAAGATGCGATACATGATGTCGAGGAAGGGGTTCAGCACCCACGCTTTCTTGCCACTGGGAAGCAACTTCTCAACATAGTAGGGATGAAACTTGTTCTTGTTGGCTGACTCGGAATTGGCATGAGGGCGTACACCAACGGGTGTGTTGAGCCCCTCATCAGGAACCTGAAGCAAATCCATGAAATCCTTTCATGTAGCAGTCATCCGCTGTCTGTTGGTCATCCAGGTCATGTGCCGTTCCTCATTAGTATGAAAGTGGACCGAGTGTGACGCCCCCGATTTGACCGTACACTAATCATACACGCAAACGTGTACGATCAAGATCAGGGACTCACGGGAAGATATCACAACACAACTCTACAAATAAAATAAGTCATACAAGCATCATATTACAAGCCAGGGGCCTCGAGGGCTCGAATACAAGAGCTCGATCATAGACGAGTCAGCGGAAGCAACAATATCTGAGTACAGACATAAGTTAAACAAGTTTGCCTTAAGAAGGCTAGCACAAACTGGGATACAGATCGAAAGAGGCGCAGGCCTCCTGCCTGGGATCCTCCTAAACTACTCCTGGTCGTCGTCAGCGGGCTGCACGTAGTAGTAGGCACCTCCCGAGTAGTAGTAGTCGTCGTCGACGATGGCGTCTGGCTCCTGGGCTCCAACGCCTGGTCGCAGCAATCGAGTATAGAAAGGGGGAAATGAGGGAGCAAAGCAACCGTGAGTACTCATCCAAAGTACTCGCAAGCAAGGAGCTACACTACATATGTATGCATTGGTATCAAATGGAAAAGGCTATCATATATGGAC